AACTAAACTGTCGACCAGCGCCTCGGCCTCCACATCGCCCACTGTGTTCGCACGTGTTTCACTCTCCACATCTGGTAACGTTTCAGACAATGTGTCGACCAGTGTTTCAACCTCCAAATTTCCTAGTGTGTCGACAAATGTCTCGGCCTTCACAGCTGCTAACGTTTTAGCCCATGTGACCACCAGTGCCGTTGCATCTGCCTCACCTAATGTGTCCAAAAGTGTCTCAGCCTCCGCCTCTACTAACGTGTCAGCCAATGCGTCGACCAGCGCCTTGGCCTCCACATCGCCCATTGTGTTGGCAAGTGTGTCACCTTCCACATTTGCTAACGTTTCAGCCGCCGTGTCGCCCAGTGCTACGACCTCCACATCGCCCAGTGTGACGGCAAGTGTCTCGGCCTTCACCCCCTGCTAACAACTCAGCTAAACTGTCGACCAGCGCCTCTGCCTCTACTTCGCCCACTGTGTTGGGAAGTGTTTCACTTTCCACATCTGGTAACGTCTCAGAAAATGTGTCGACCAGTGTTTCAACCTCCACATTTCTTAGTGTGTCGAAAAGTGTCTTAGAAACAGCTGCTAACGTTTTAGCCAAGGAGACGACCAGTGTCCTTGCCTTTACCCCACCCAATGTGTTGGGAAGTGTCGAGGCCTCCGCTTCTGCTAACGTGTCAGCAAATGCGTCGACCAGTACCTCGACCTCCACATTGCCCACTGTGTCGGCAAGTCTCTCGGCCTTTACCTCTGCTAACGTGCCACCAAGTGAATCGACCAGTGCCTTTGTCTCCACATTACCCAATGTCTCGGCAAGTGTCTTGGCCTACACCTCTGCTAACGTGTCAGGCAATCTCTCGAGCAGTGCCTCGACGTCCACATCGCCAGGTTTCTCGGCAAGTGTCTCAGTCTCCACCTCTGCTTACGTGTCACCCAATAAGTCGACGAGTGCCTCGGCCACTACATCGCCCAATGTGTCTCCAAGTGTCTCGTCCTTTACCTCTTCTAATGTGTTAGTTAATGTGTTCACCAATGCCTTGGCCTCCACATCACCTAATGCGTCGGCAAGTATCTCGGCTTCAACGTCTGCTAACTTGTCAACCATAGTTACAACCAGTGCATCAACCTCCACATCGCCCAGTGTGTCGGCAGATGCCTCGGCCTTCATCTCTCCTAGCGTGTCAATCAATGTGTCGACCACTGTCTCGGCTTCCACTTCTGCTCAAGTGTGTCACCTAGTATGTAGATCAGCGTCCGCCTCCAAATTGCTAGCCACAGCCTCCCCCTCTGCTAGCGTGTCATCCAGTGTGTCTACCAGTCCCTCGACCTCCCCATCGCCCAGTGAGTCCGCAAGTGTCTCCACCTTCACCTCTGCTATTGTGGCTGCCAGTGTAGCGACCAGTGCCTCGGCCTCCACCTCTTCTCAAGTGTGTCACCTAGTGTGTGGCTCAACCTCCATATCGCAGTTTGTGTCGGCAAGTGTCCCGGCTTTCACCTCTGCTTACGTGTCAGCTTATGTGTCGACCAAAGCCTCGACCTCCACATCGCTTAGTGTGCCGGCAATTATCTCGCCTCCCACCTCTGCTGGGCTGTCAGCCAATTTGTCTACCAGTGTCTCGGCCTCCACATCGCCCAGTGTCTCGACAAGTCTCTCGTCCTTCACCTTTGCTAACGTGTCAGCTAATCTCTCGACCGGCGGCTCGGCTTTCACATCACCCACAGTGTTAACAAGTGTTTCACTCTCCACATCTGCTAACGTTTCAGCCAATGGGTCGACCAGTCCCTCGACTTCAACATCGCCCAGTCTATCTGCAAATGTCTCTGCAAATGTGTCAGCCAATGTGTCGACCCGTGCCTCTGCCGCTACATCGCTCACAGTGTCGACAAGAGTCTCGGCATTCACTGCTGCTACCGTGTTAGCCAATGAGACGACCAGTGCCCTTGCCTCCACATCACCAAATGTGTCTTCAAGTGTCTCGGCCTCAACTTCTGCTAACGTGTCACCCAACGTATCGACCAGAACCTCAACCTCCACATCGCCCACTGTGTCGGAAAATGTCTCGGCCTCCACCACTGCTAACATGTCAGCTAATGTGTCGATCAGTGACTTGGCCTCCCCATCACCCAATGTGTCGACCAGTGTCTCAGCCTTCACATTGTCCACTGTGTTGGCAAGTGTTTCACCCCCCACATTTTCGAACGTTTCAGCCAATATGTCGACCAGTGAATCGACCTTCACATCGCCCAGTGTATCGGCAAATGTCTCAGTCTTCATCTCTTCTAATGTGCCAGCCAATGTGTCGACCAGTGCCTTGATCTCCAAATTGCCTAGTGTGTCGGCAAGTGTCTCATCCTTCACTTCTGCTAACGTTTTAGCCAATGTCTCGACCAGCAGCTCGGCCTCCACATCGCCCGCTGTGTCCGCAAGAGGCTCGGCCTTCACCGCTGCTAATGTGTCAGCCAATAAGTCCACAAGTGCCTTGGCCTTCACACCACCCAATGTCTCGGCAGTTGTCTCGGCCTCCACCTCTGCGAACGTGTCAATTAATCTGTCGACAAGTGCCTCGGCCACCACAACGCCCAATGTTTTATCAGGTTTCTCGGCTTTTATCTCTGCAAACCTCCCAGTCAATCTGTCGACCGGTGCCTCGACTGCCACATCGACCAGTGTGTCGGCAAGTGTCTTAGTTTCCAACTCTGCTAATGTTTTAGCCAATGTGTCCACCAGTGCCTCGACTTCCACATCGCCCAGAGTGTCGTCACGTGTCTCGGCCTTCACTTCTGCTAACGTGTCAGCTAATCTGTTGACCAGCGCGTCGGCCTCCACATCGCCCATTGTGTTGCCAGGTGTGTCAGTCTCCACATCTGCTAACGTTTCAGCCAATGTGTCGACCAGTGCCTCAACCTCCACATCACCCAGTTTGTCGGGAACTGTCTCGGCCTTCAACTCTACTAACACCTCAGCTAGACTGTCGACCAGCGCCTCTGCCTCTTCTTCGCCCACTGTGTTGGGAAGTGTTTCACTTTCCACATCTGGTAACGTCTCAGAAAATGTGTCGACCAGTGTTTCAACCTCCACATTTCTTAGTGTGTCGAAAAGTGTCTTAGACACAGCTGCTAACGTTTTAGCCAAGGAGACGACCAGTGTCCTTGCCTTAACCTCACCCAATGTGTTGGGAAGTGTCGAGGCCTCTGCTTCTGCTAACGTGTCAGCAAATGCGTCTACCAGTGCCTCGACCTCCACATTGCCCACTGTGTCGGCAAGTCTCTCGGCCTTTACCTCTGCTAACGTGCCACCAAGTGAATCGACCAGTGCCTTTGTCTCCACATTACCCAATGTCTCGGCAAGTGTCTTGGCCTTCACCTCTGCTAACGTGTCAGGCAATCTCTCGAGCAGTGCCTCGACGTCCACATCGCCAGGTTTCTCGGCAAGTGTCTCAGTCTCCACCTCTGCTTACGTGTCACCCAATGCGTCGACCAGCGCCTTGGCCTCCACATCGCCCACTGTGTTGGCAAGTGTGTCACCTTCCACATCTGCTAACATTTCAGCCGCCGTGTCGCCCAGTGCTACGACCTACACATCGCCCAGTGTGACGGCAAGTGTCTCGGCCTTCACCCCTGCTAACAACTCAGCTAAACTGTCGACCAGCGCCTCTGCCTCTACTTCAACCACTGTGTTGGGAAGTGTTTCACTTTCCACATCTGGTAACGTTTCAGAAAATGTGTCGACCGGTGTTTCAACCTCCACATTTCTTAGTGTGTCGAAAAGTGTCTTAGAAACAGCTGCTAACGTTTTAGCCAAGGAGACGACAAGTGTCCTTGCCTTTACCTCACCCAATGTGGTGGGAAGTGTCGAGGCCTCCGCTTCTGCTAACGTGTCAGCAAATGCGTCGACCAGTACCTCGACCTCCACATCGCCCACTGTGTCGGCAAGTCTCTCGGCCTTTACCTCTGCTAACCTGCCAGCAAGTGAATCCACCAGTGTCTTTGTCTCGACATCACCCAATGTCTCGGCAAGTGTCTTGGCCTTCACCTCTGCTAACGTGTCAGGCAATCTCTCGAGCAGTACCTCGACGTCTACTTCGCCAGGTTTCTCGGCAAGTGTCTCAGTCTCCACCTCTGCTTACGTGTCACCCAATGAGTCGACCAGTGCCTCGGCCTCCACATCGCCCAATGTGTCTCCAAGTGTCTTGTCCTTTACCTCTTCTAACGTGTTAGCCAATGTGTTCACCAATGCCTTGGCCTCCACATCACCTAATGCGTCGGCAAGTATCTCGGCTTCAACGTCTGCTAACTTGTCAACCACGGCTGCAAGCAGTGTATCAACCTCCACATCGCCCAGTGTGTCGGCAGATGCCTCGGCCTTCATCTCTGCTAGTGTGTCAATCAATGTGTCGACCACTGTCTCGGCTTCCACTTCTGCTCAAGTGTGTCACCTAGTATGTAGATCAGCGTCCGCCTCCAAATTGCTAGCCACAGCCTCCCCCTCTGCTAGCGTGTCATCCAGTGTGTCTACCAGTCCCTCGACCTCCCCATCGCTCAGTGAGTCCGCAAGTGTCTCCGCCTTCACCTCTGCTATTGTGGCTGCCAGTGTAGCGACCAGTGCCTCGGCCTCCACCTCTTCTCAAGTGTGTCACCTAGTGTGTGGCTCAACATCCATATCGCAGTTTGTGTCGGCAGGTGTCTCGGCCTCCACCTTTGCTAGCGTGTTAGCTACTATGTCGACAAGTGCCTCGGCTTTCACATCACCTAGTGTGACGACAACGTTCGTGGCATTTACCTTTGCTAACATTTTACCCAGTGTGTCGACCAGTGCCTCGCCCTCCACATCGCCGAGTGTTTCGGCAAGTATCTCAGCTTCTTCGTTTTCTAACGTGTTAGCCGATTTGTCGACCAGTGCCTCGCCCTCTACTTCGCGCAGTGTGTCGGCAAGTGTTTTGCTGTCCACCTTTGCTAGCCTGTCAGCCAGTGTATTGACCAATGCCTTGGCTTCCACTTCCGCGAGAGTGTCTACAAGTGTCTCGACTTTCCCCTCTGCTAATGTATTAACCAATGTTTCGAGTAGTGCCTCGACCTCCACTTCAGCAAATGTGTCGCCACGTTTCTCGCCCTCCATCTCTACTAGCCTGTCAGCAAATTTGTCGTCCAGCAGGTCGGCCTCCATATCTCCCAAAGTTTCTCCAACTATCTCTGCCCCCACCTCTGCTAGGCTGTTAGCCAGTGTTTTGACCAGTGCCTCCGCCTCCACATTGCCCAGTGTGTCGACGAGTGTCTCGGCCTCCACCTCTCCTAGCTTTTCAGCCAGTGTGTCGACTAGTGCCTCGGCCTCTTTATCGCCCAGTGTTTCGGCAAGTGTCTCAGCTTCCTCTTTTGCTAGCGTGTCATTCAGTGTTTCCAGCAGAGCTTCGGACTCTACATCGCTCAGTGTGTCAACGAGTGTGTCGACTTCAACCTCTGCTAGTTTCTCAGTCAGTGGGTCAACCAGTGCCTCCACCTTCACATCGGCCAGTGTCTCGGCAAGCTTTTCGGCCTCCGCCTCTGCTAGCCCGTCAGGTAGTTTGTCTACCAGTGCTTCGGCCTCCACATCGCCTAGTGTGTCGCCAAGTGTCTTAGCCGCCACCTCTGCTAGCCTGTCAGGCAGTTTGTCTACCAGTGCTTCGGCCTCTACATCGCCTAGTGTATCGACGAGTGTCTCGAATTCCACCGCTGCTAGTTTGTCAGTCAGTGCGTCGACCAGTGCCTCGACCTTTACATCGCCCAGTGTCTCGGCAAGCTTCTCGGCCTCTGCCTTTGCTAGCTTGTCAGGCGGTTTGTCTACCAGTGCTTTGGCCTCCACATCGCCTAGTGTATCACCAACTGTCTTGGCCTCCACCTCTGCTAGTCTGTCAGCTATTGGGTCGATCAGTGCCTCGTCCTCCAGGTCGCCCAGTGTGTCGACAAGTTTCTCGGCCTCCACCTTTGCTAGCGTGTTAGGCAGTGTGTCGACAGTTGGCTTGGCCTCCACGTTGCTCAGTGTTTCGACAAGTATCTCTGCCACCACCTCTGCTAGCCTGTCTGCCAGTGTTTTGACCAGTGCCTCCGCCTTCACACTTCCCAGGGTGTCGACGAGTGTCTCGGCCTCCACCTCTCCTAGCTTTTCAGCCAGTGTGTCGACTAGTGCCTCGGCCTCTTTATCGCCCATTGTTTCTGCAAGTGTCTCAGCTTCCTCTTTTGCTAGCGTGTCATTCAGTGTTTCGAGTACTGCTTCGACTTCTTCATCGCTCAGTGTGCCGACGAGTGTCTCGACTTCCACCTCTGCTAGTTTGTCAGTCAGTGTGTCGACCAGTGCCTCGACCTTTACATCGGCCAGTGTCTCGGTAAGCTTTACGGCCTCCACCTCTGTCAGCCTGTCAGGTAGTTTGTCTACCAGTGCTTCGGCCTCCACATCGCCTAGTGTGTCACCAAGTGTCTTAGCCTCCGCCTCTGCTAGCCTGTCAGGCATTTTGTCTACCAGTGCTTCGACCTCTACATCGCCCAGTGTGCCGACGAGTGTCTCGACTTCCACCTCTGCTAGTTTCTCAGTCAGTGGGTCAACCAGTGCCTCGACCCTTACATCACCCAGTGTGTCACCAAGTGTCTTGGCCTCCATCTCTGCTAGCCTGTCAGGCAGTTTGTCTTCCAGTGCTTCGGCCTTTACATCGCCCAGTGTGTCGACGAGTGGCTCGACTTCCACCTCTGCTAGTTTGTCAGTTAGTGCGTCGACCAGTTCCTCGACCTCGACTAGCTTTTCAGCCAGTGTGTCGACTAGTGCCTCGGCCTCTTTATCGCCCAGTGTTTCGGCAAGTGTCTCAGCTTCCTCTTTTGCTAGCGTGTCATTCAGTGTTTCCAGCAGTGCTTCGGACTCTACATCGCTCAGTGTGTCGACGAGTGTGTCGACCTCAACCTCTGCTAGTTTCTCAGTCAGTGGGTCAACCAGTGCCTCCACCTTCACATCGGCCAGTGTCTCGGCAAGCTTTTCGGCCTCCGCCTCTGCTAGCCCGTCAGGTAGTTTGTCTACCAGTGCTTCGGCCTCCACATCGCCTAGTGTGTCACCAAGTGTCTTAGCCGCCACCTCTGCTAGCCTGTCAGGCAGTTTGTCTACCAGTGCTTCGGCCTCTACATCGCCTAGTATATCGACGAGTGTCTCGAATTCCACCTCTGCTAGTTTGTCAGTCAGTGCGTCGACCAGTGCCTCGACCTTTACATCGCCCAGTGTCTCGGCAAGCTTCTCGGCCTCTGCCTTTGCTAGCTTGTCAGGCGGTTTGTCTACCAGTGCTTCGGCCTCCACATCGCCTAGTGTATCACCAACTGTCTTGGCCTCCACCTCTGCTAGTCTGTCAGCTATTGGGTCGATCAGTGCCTCGTCCTCCAGGTCGCCCAGTGTGTCGACAAGTTTCTCGGCCTCCACCTTTGCTAGCGTGTTAGGCAGTGTGTCGACAGCTGGCTTGGCCTCCACATTGCTCAGTGTTTCGACAAGTATCTCTGCCACCACCTCTGCTAGCCTGTCTGCCAGTGTTTTGACCAGTGCCTCCGCCTTCACACTTCCCAGGGTGTCGACGAGTGTCTCGGCCTCCACCTCTCCTAGCTTTTCAGCCAGTGTGTCGACTAGTGCGTCGACCTCTTTATCGCCCATTGTTTCGGCAAGTGTCTCAGCTTCCTCTTTTGCTAGCGTGTCATTCAGTGTTTCGAGTACTGCTTCGACTTCTTCATCGCTCACTGTGCCGACGAGTGTCTCGACTTCCACCTCTGCTAGTTTGTCAGTCAGTGTGTCGACCAGTGCCTCGACCTTTACATCGGCCAGTGTCTCGGTAAGCTTTACGGCCTCCGCCTCTGCCAGCCTGTCAGGTAGTTTGTCTACCAGTGCTTCGGCCTCTACATTGCCCAGTGTGCCGACGAGTGTCTCGACTTCCACCTCTGCTAGTTTGTCAGTCAGTGCGTCGACCAGTTCCTCGACCTCGACTAGCTTTTCAGCCAGTGTGTCGACTAGTGCCTCGGCCTCTTTATCGCCCAGTGTTTCGGCAAGTGTCTCAGCTTCCTCTTTTGCTAGCGTGTCATTCAGTGTTTCCAGCAGTGCTTCGACTTCTTCATCGCTCACTGTGTCGACGAGTGTCTCGACTTCCACCTCTGCTGGTTTCTCAGTCAGTGCGTCGACCAGTGCCTCGACTTTCACATTGGCCAGTGTCTCGGCAAGCTTTTCGGCCTCCGCCTCTGCCAGTCTGTCAGGCAGTTTGTCTACCAGTGCTTCGGCCTCCACATCGCCTAGTGTGTCACCAAGTGTCTTAGCCTCCGCCTCTGCTAGCCTGTCAGGCAGTTTGTCTACCAGTTCGTCGGCCTCTACATCACCTAGTGTGTCGACGAGTGTCTCGACTTCCACCTCTGCTAGTTTGTCAGTCAGTGCGTCGACCAGTGCCTCGACCTTTACATCGCCCAGTGTCTCGGCAAGCTCCTCGGCCTCTGCCTCTGCTAGCCTGTCAGGCGGTTTGTCTACCAGTGCTTCGGCCTCCACATCGCCTAGTGTGTCACCAACTGTCTTGGCCTCCACCTCTGCTAGTCTGTCAGCTTTTGGGTCCACCAGTGCCTCGTCCTCCAGGTCGCCCAGTCTGTCGACAAGTTTCTCAGCCTCCACATCGCTCAGTGTTTTGGCAAGTATCGCTGCCCCCACCTCTGCTAGTCAGTCAGCCAGTGTTTTGACCAGTGCCTCGGCCTCTACATCGCCCAGTTTGTCGTCAAGTGTCTCGGCCTCTCCGTCTGGTGGCCTGCCAGCCAGTGTGTCGACTCATGCCTTGACTTTTACATCGCCCAGTGTGTCGGCAAGTGTCTCGGATTCCTTTTTTTCTAGCCCGTCAGCAAGTGTCTCGACCAATACCTCGGCCTCCACCTCTGCTAGCCTTTCATCCAGTGTTTCGACGAGTGCATCGGTCTCAGCATCGCCCAGTGTGTCGCCAACTGTATCAGCGTCGCCCTCTGCTAGCGTGTCAGCCAGTTTGTCGATCAGTGCCTCGGCGTCTACATCGCCCAGTGTGTCGGAAAGTGTCTCGGCCTCCACTTCCGCAAGCCTCTCAACCAGTGTGTCGACGAGTGCATCAATCTCCACATCGCCTAGTGTGTCGGCAAGTGTCTCGCCCTCCACCTCTGCTAGCTTTTCAGCAAGTGTGTCGACCAGTGTGTCGGCCTCCACGTCGCCCAGTGTGTCACCAAGTGTGTCAGAGTCGCTATCTGCTAGCGTTTCAGCGAGTGTGTCGACCAGTGCCTCGGCGTCTACATCGCCCAGTGTGTCGGAAAGTGTCTCGGCCTCCACCTCTGCTAGCCTTTCAGCCAGTGTGTCGACGAGTGCATCGGTCTCAACATCGCCCAGTCTGTCGCCAACTGTATCAGCGTCGCCCCCCGCTAGCGTGTCAGCCAGATTGTCGATCAGTGCCTCGGCGTCTACATCGCCCAGTGTGTTGTCAAGTGTCTCGGCCTCCACCTCTGCTAGCCTGTCAACCAGTGTGTCTACAAGTGGCTCGGTCTCCAATTCGCCCAGTGTGTCGGCAAGTGTGTCGGCCTCCACCTCCGCAAGTCTTTCAACCAGTGTGTCGACGAGTGCATCGATCTCCACATCGCCCAGTGTGTCGGCAAGTGTCTCGCCCTCCACCTCTGCTAGCTTGTCAGCCAGTGTGTCGTCCAGTGTCTCGGCCTCCACGTCGCCCAGTGTGTCACCAACTGTGTCAGAGTCGCTATCTGCTAGCGTTTCAGCGAGTGTGTCGACCAGTGCATCAGTCTCCACATCGCCCAGTCTGTCGGCAACTGTGTCAGCGTCGCCATCTGCTAGCGTGTCAGCCAGTTTGTCGACCAGTGCCGTGGCCTCCACTTTGCCCAGTGTGTCAGCTAGTGTCTCGGCCTCCACCTCTGCTAGCTTGTCAGCCAGATTTTCCTTTAGTCAAAGCATTTCTATAACTGCTAGTTCAAGCATTTTATCTTCAACTCCCAGTAAGAGTTGGTATTTGTTTTTTTAAGTGTTGTGTTTTTGATGTGTTTGATTAGACACTATTGACTAGGTATTTGTCACCTATAATTTTGCCGAATTTGACCTGGTCGGAATTGCAGTCGGTCTGAAATGCAGTCGGCTGTTTTGCATCCTACCTGTTTTCTAGGATTCTTCTGTGTTGCGCTAATGGCCATCCATTTTACCCTTGTGGAATAACTTGCGCTTTCGTTTATGTTTTTGCATTGGCTCATGAGCTTTTCTATGGTACATAAATTTTTTTCCAAACTATTTTAACAAGGGCACTGCTGGAATCTTTTTGAATGTCAGTAGCATCGGCTTTATATCCACTATGGTCTTAAACAATGATCGTCACTTACGAAGTCAACGTTAACTCTTGGCTAATAGCTAGTAAGTGTAACCTAAATGTCGCTAAAGGGTACAAACCCAAGCTGGGGTTTCCATCAGTACACATATCGTCTCTTGGACTAACAATTGACGAGACCCTCTCCTGGTGCTAGCATATCATAAATATTTCAAAAAAGATTTTTTCAGGAATCGGCGCCTTGAAACGTGAAAGACCAAACAATCATTTACGCATTCTCAGCTGCAAAAAGGAATAAGACTTTAGTTGATCCCCACTTTATGTACTGCTGCAGTGTATGGTATGGTCTCATCTACACTTTGAACGATAAACTTCAAAAATTACAAAACCGCGGAGCTACGGTAATTGCCAAATCTAGATATGACGCTAGTATAGATCCCTTTCTTGCTTTGATGGGATAGGATTCAGATATCTGACCAAAACAAGGGGCGGCTATCATGTTCAAAACGCTAAAGAAGCAAATGCCCCTCCTTCCCCCCACCCCCATGTACGATATTGTCTCTGCTCGTGACATTTTGTTTTTACAATATCCCTCACTCTGGGCACATCCTGCACGTTTCCAAACCAAGCACTAACTTTCTTAAGCTCAGTTGTTTGTATTCAGGGGCTGCCCTTTGGGATGGACTGCCATCAGTCAGGACTACGTAAGCCATTAAGCCTCACAAGGTTTAAAGATGGAATAAATGTCTATCATTCATCAGCGTGTACTCATACGGCAAAAACGCAGACTAGTATTTTAGATTTTCATTACCTTCAAATACTGATTTTTAACCGTATCTAAATAGAGTACTTTTATGTCTATGTCTATGCACCCGCAATTGGCGAGTTATATTTTAACAGAAAAGCCCCACTATAGCAGATTGGAACAAAAAAGATAGTTGAAGTAATCTTAAAATATAGGTCTACAACATATTTACTTATTCATATTGACATATTTACTTTTGTTGAGACGTTGTGCATGGTGAAATTGTTTATCAACCAGCCTAATGAAAAGTGTAGTTTAAGCCTTCATAGAAGGAAAGCTAAATGTCACACGAAGCACACTCGCTTAAAGTTAAAATTGCCTTTTTATTGTGCTTTTTCTTTCTCCTTTGAAGCAATTGCACCTGCGAGCAATCTTTTTCCGTTTGGGCCACTGGAGAATGATGCTGAGCTCATAGCGGAGCCATCTTGTAATGACGAAGTGATCTGCCAAAGTATCAGAGCGGGCCGTTTTGGATTTGAATTCTTCCAGAGGAGACGTTTCAGAGTGAATGTAGGTATCGGTCTAATTGTTATTGCTGCCTAAAGGGCTGCAGGGGTCTTGGATTTTGGGCCCCTCCTTTTTCTATATATCCTGCTTCAAGGTTTTTACTACGTTTCCTTCATTTGTTCAGATTGTTCTTCATATTTGTATCTAATTTTATAGACAACTAAACAAGACACGTCTCTCTTAGTACCGGGAAAAAAAGCCAAACGGCATCTTTGTAGCTTTCGATAAGCTAGGGGACTGTAAAGTGCTTTAATTGACTTGTTTCTTAAAACAGATAAAGAAACAGACGGTTATAACTGGAGCAAAAAGCCCACTTGTCAAACTATTTACAAAGAGGATATCTTACATATCCACGCGGAGATACGAAATTTCTTCTTCAGTCTTAAGCGAACGAGTGAAATATTCTCGATTACTCAAAGAGAATATTCGTATCTCCAAGCGGCCATGTATTGTTCTATTTTTTATACAAACACCAATGAGATACCAAACTATTTCGCTTTGATATCATTTGGCCGCGAAAGGTGCGGTTTATTATGTAGCCATGGCAACGGTGATCTTTACAAGTCTGAAGATCAGTATCAAGTTTTCGCGCAAAAGCTCACCTGGTATTTCATTAGTGGCTATGTAATAATTCACATTCTTTTACTTTAGATATTTAAACACAGTGATGTTAATACCATTCCTATCGACGCCCAAAAAATTCATAATAGCTTCTTCGATAATCACATACTCTTAGACAAAACTAAACCTTATTCTATTCAAATCGACATCAATTTATATAACAATTTAATTCGACTAAAATATCACTCATGGGTATCACTTCTCCTGCTTTGCTAGATATGTTTCAATGGTAAAATCCAGTTTAACGAAAGATGGAGTGTGCGGTGGCCCCAGAAGTTTGGTATTTACAGATGGCTACGTTCAAATGCGTTCATTGCACCATTCTGGGCCAGGGTGGAACATAGAGCATTTAACAAAGGAAATTCCAAGGTTTATTATCACGCTTACGAGCAAAGCAACCAGAACACGGATCAAACAATTAACATACTCGGTCTGGCCTCACGTCATGTTAAGAGTTACACTAACGATGAAAAATTTAGAAACTTTGAAGCCACTTGGGTTCTAGTCGTCACTTGGGTAAATGTCTGCCCTTACGACGAATGTACAGAACGTTGTAGTTTGGTAAGTTATGATTTTCACATTAATTACATTTTTCAGACCTTTTTCTTACGCACTGTCACTCTTTGGGACAAACGCTTGCTTTTGGGTCGGTGGTTTGACCGTTTTTCATGCCTATTTTAGATGCCCCAAACAGTAAGCTCTTTAATTCAGCAACTTTAGATTGATGATTAGTTTTCGAATACACCTTGTCACGGTTTTCGTATAAGAATCTAATGTCGAATAATTTCCGTAAAACGGCTTTTCTGAAAAAAATATGAATTTTATAACTAAAGATTCACTCCTAACGGTCCTACCGATAAAAATTGAGGGTGTTATATGCAGCTGCATGCGCTAGAACAACTTTGCATTCTTTTTTGTCTGTAAACAGACAATAATTGCAGACAAATATATGGAAAATCTAATACAAGCGTCTGGAGAAATTTAAGCACATTTACGACCCTAAAATTTGTTACTAAAATCCTTTGCTGTAGCTTTAGTTTACAGTTCAGTTTTTTTTTCAGAACAGCTGTTTCACTCAAATAATTCGACATTACATTCTCCTCATACAAACACTGTAATTTCTCACGCGGATGCCTACGCGTCAAGATGGCTTTCAAAACCGTGACAAGGTCTATAAAACTTCGCTCGCTGTGCTACATTAATATTGATTGATTGCTTTGTTAGTCCTGTACTAGTCTGCAAATAGCGCCGTCTCTCCTTGTTCTTTCGTCGCTGCGGATGTGTTTCGCGCACGAAGGACTAGCGTCTTCGCCATTTTCTATACCAGGTGTTGGATCTGTGTTATTGGCGGGAAAATGATAACGTGAGAAACAAGACAAACTTAGTTGATGGGAAGCGCTCGTTGATTAAGTGGGGATTAAGTGCACTATTTTGAAAGACATTTTTGCCACAATTTTTTTCGACCTTATGCCTTCGTTTGGTGAACATAGAGACCTCAGATCGCCATGTTTTTGGGTGGAATGATTGGCGAGATTAAAATAGCGACCACGTCTTAGAAGTTTTTTTTAAATTTTTTAAATATCCTCAACATATTTCCAACATGATCGTGAAAACAGTGACAAGATCCTTGTCCTGTTTCGCGCATAACTAGCAGGGGGAGTAGCGTGCAGGCCATGCATTTGACGGCTTGTGTTAAAATTCATCGCCAGCTTCATTTCAGTTTCAGAATGGCATTTACTGAATAATTCGTCTTATAATTTGTGACTATACCTTCCAGTTTTGTTTTAAATAACGTATTCCGGGGGGGAGGATACTCAACAAAGATTTATACAGGAAGGCTCCGCCCTGAGGTCCAACCCTCACCTTTCAATATTCTATTTTTGACAGCAAAGGTGCCCCTTTCTTATACTGTAATAACCCGCAACTAAGAACCTGTTTTTTAAGAACCTGTTAGACTAAAAGTCGTAAATTAGTCCCCCTCCATACCAGAAACTGTTTAGCCTAAATTTGAAACAGGTTTTTATTTTCTAAAACCTATATCAAAAAAATTCTGTACGCTTGGGAAAATAAGATAAGACAACATTCAGATTCCTCTTTGGAGACATAAATGTCTTGATGATCCCTCCCACTACAATGTATTGGATGCAGATTTCGTATAAGTAATAAGCTGAATATAAGACTAAATACTCTTAGCCTCAACGTGCTTTTTCTTCAGAAAATAAGAAGCTATTTAAGAACCTACATAGCCTAAATTTGTGCTAATTACCATTTATGTGAGAACCTGCTTATGCTAACTTGGGAAAATGCGTTTATTAGTCGTACTTACTGTCGTTATTAGTCGTTTTTATTGTACTTGCCATTGACAAATGTTACGCCATTCACATACCTAGTTTAGAACTTTGCATCCCTTTTATCTGCTCTAAAATGCACTGAATAACTAAATACGAATAAATCACTAAACCCGGACGTTTTCTCGGATTTTTCGCAATTATAAAATGCATCTGTTGGCCGATTTGAGCCTATTTACAGACCGAAATGACAGACCAGTTCTATCAGTTCATGTACTTCAGTTGATGAAATCCCTACCCTTTCATATGTACCCAAAGACTGACAAAGGTACCCCTTTCGAGCGTAGCCTCCCCGTTTTAAAATAACCTTGCTTAGGCTTGCTTGTAGGCCCCCACTCGTTTTGTGAGTGCAGAGTTACTGAATGAGTGTTTGAAAGTGTGATTGCCTATGGGTTCTTTTTAACTTGCTGGCACAGTTTAATTGAATCCAGTCAATTGAGTCTTACGAGATCATTGGTTCGAATCCCGTTGAAGTCCCGGAATTCTTTTCGGATTTATTTACCATTACTTAAATTGCAATTACCACTGTGACAGTCATATCTTCGTTAAAAAAAATTGTATTTTCGCAGTTCACATCATCTTCAAGTAACATTTAACTTGCTACAAAGTTGTTTACAGTTTTTTAAATCTTCCCGGCTCTATATTGTTCATAGGGATGTCAAGATGTCGAAAATAGCTATGAACAGGTTAAAGATTTATCGCTGTACCACTGGCTAAAATAATGTCCTGGCTTTTATGTTTTGTAGAGGAACACTTTTCAAGCAGTCATCATAACAGACTGGGGTAATACGTTCCTGATGTACAACTACCCTTCAGGAGGAATCGAGTGGACAGTTAATGCTCCTATGTAAGTCATACATATAAAGAATCAAAGGCCTAGGCCAAACGTCGAACGTTTCATGAGAGGAACCACACTTAGTAAAAAATTCGACGTCTGGCTCAGTTAAGTTCGTCTGAGTTTGGATCGCCCAACACGTTCTATCCGTGTGCTTCCTCTGGATAGAACGTCTGAAGATCATCTCCGGGACAAACGTTGATCTTCACATGTAACGAACTAGACTAGTGAAGGAAATGCTATTTAACCTCGTTCGGGAGAAAATTTATTAGAATTGCTTTTTGGTCTGATTCAGTTGATTGGTTCGACGCGTTCTAAGTTCGAAGTCTGACCCGACAGACGATCGTCACTTAATTTAGTTCGACCCAAACTAAAATTTGGTTCGTCGCTCGTTCGTTCGTTCGAAATGTAACAACTTTTAACGCAAAATGTAACAACTTTTTAACGCGAAATGTAACAACTTTTTGACGCAAAATGAAACAATATTTTTAACGCGAAATGCAACAAGCAAAATGTTACAGTCTTGAAATAACTGAGAAACTTGGACATGAGCCTTGTAGATAAAGTGTAAATTGTCTGGTGGTTATAAAAACAGTTTATTTATAAAGTTTTCTTATAATGTCAAATAAACTTACAAAACGTTTTTCGATAATAGTAACTAAATCTTGGAACGGTCGAACGAATTGACCACTCCAGAAAATACCATAACATACCATAACGTTCTTTGTTCGTCACCCCCAAATTTTGCATAAGCATTGTTTTCAGTTTCTCTTGGGAGTTAAAATGGCCCCAAGAGAAACTGAAAACAATGCTTATGCAAAATTTAGGGGTGACGAACAAAAAACATTATGGTATATTAAGGTATTTTCTGGAGTGGTCAATTGTTGTTTAGTATATCTTTCTGTAAATATGTGTGACGCTGAAAAGAAAGTTGGCGTTACCACACCCAGGACGTATTAGATGGGTTAGGATGGTACATTTTTAGCATACTCCCTCTAGGGAGTTGAGCTCGTATGAAATCGTGGCGAGTATCGATTACTGATCATTCTTTTCACACTTTCATCGAGTGAAGACGCTTTCTGTTTTTATCCGACGCTGCCTGTTTTTACCCACCACCTCCCCTTTTCCCTAAAAGGCAAGTGTAGCGGAGCAGTCATCCGACAGCGTGAGATAATCAACAGTGTTAAATGGGCGTTGGCATGGTTAAGTTTTATGGCAGCAGGACTGGGTTGGTATGAAATTTCTCACATTTACTGGAAGTCCGGTAAGAAATGAGAAATTTCATATCTATCTTATTGGCTACGTTCAAAATTTTCTTTTGAAAGATTACATTTCATAACTTTTACTTTTAACTTGCATTTCAATTGCTGATTGGTGCGTGTTTCCTACGGTGTTATTGTTTTCTAGTCATATTCGTTTCGCATAGCTTGGGATATTTTCCATACGTTATGTTTAATAAGTTAGCGTTGTTGTTATTGTCCATACTGCTATTCCAAGGTTATAACCTTATTACCTGTTTTACGACCTTTTATAAGTTTATTTGACATTATAAGAAAACTTTATGAATATTCTGTTTTTGTAACCACCAGACAATTTACACTTTATCTACAAGGCTCATGTCCAAGTCTCTCAGTTATTTCAAGGCTGTAACATTTTGCTTGTTACATTTCGCGTTAATAATATTGTTTCATTTTGCGCCAAAAAGTTGTTACACTTCGCGTTAAAAAGTTGTTACATTTTGCGTTAAAAGTTGTTACATTTCGGGTTAATGTTACATTTCGCATCAAAAGATGTTACATTTCGCGTTAATGTTACATTTTGCGTCAATTGTTACATTTTGCGGCGTAACATTAAGTGTATATTATTACACTTAATGTTAATGTTATTACAATTAACATCAATGTTAATGTTATTACAATTAACACTTAATGTCAGATCCCGAGGGAAAAAGTTTTGTTTTCCCGAGAGTCCTGATGTTGGAAAAATCAGGACTCGAGGGAAAGCAAAACTAACTGGTTTCCAGAGGGACCTGGCATTAAGTGTTTTGTTAATTATTTCTAGACTTTCACTTCAACGTACCTCAACAGCAACAAAAGAATACGCTTCACCTGAGCGAATCAAAACAGTCGACTCGCTACTTATAAGCCCACACGGAATGATTTACAAAGTACTTTCCTTATATTATCTGCATCTTTTTCCTCCACTAGCTGCTGTTTCTCTTCTGGGATAACTTTGAAAATCGTTGCTTTTTAGCTTGAGGCTTCAAGTTGTTGTTGTGTTCATTCACGAAAAAGAAAACTGGTAGCCAGTGGCAGGACCTGGCAGTGTTTTTCCCGCCTTCTGTCACGCCACTTTCCAACATGCTTTGATAACGTGCTGTAATGTATCACGACTGGGATACATTTAAGGTGGCTCCTTAATTAATACGGGCGCTTTTAGCTGTGACGAAGTTTTCGTCATAACTTTTTCGTTTTTAACCCGATGGCTGAGAAACTTTGCGAAGAACAGCAGATATCATCCGGCAATAGTACGAAATATTTCGATTTCATTGATGTTAAATATATTTTGCTAAATTAGGGCTTAAGAGGACGCTTCTGTTCAAAGAAAATCGCGTCTAGTAAAAAAATTTGCTGATATTTTTTACTGAAATTTCCGGTATCGGCTTTAATTGACATAATAAATATGCCAGAGCAATTTCAGAAAAATCGTTGGAGCAGAAGTTCGTAACTAAAAGTCGCTCAAAATTCAGCTGTGAAATTATTTTGGAATTTCAAAAATAAGTTACTATCAGGTAGAAGGAGCCACCAGTTTGAATTTTCGGGACAAGTAAATTCAATGTTTGCCAAAAATGAACACAAAAGCTGATTGCCTATCGTGTTATTCTTTTCGAGTGTTTTTAACCAATCAGAACGCGCGAACTATCGTTGTTATTTTATAATTGGCAATTATCTTTCCTGCAGATCTGAATATGCTGAATGGACAGATGTGTATGGTATTCCAGTAGCCGGATGGAGCGCTGAAGGCATTCACAACCTCAACTTGGAAGGGTGAGGCGTGCTAGTTACCCTGTGGCCCGCGCTGCAGACGAAACTAAACTCTGTTTAAGTCTGTCTGTGAAACAGGGCCGAAATCCTTCTTCTGGCCACCCACCTGTGTACTGGGATTTGCGTACGCACCATAATTAACCTGTTCAAAATTAAATCGTCGGTTTGCCCATCAAGGTGAAGGAAATTCGAAACGCTCTTTCGGTAATTCGTTGATTCCGTTGGGGCCCAGAACAAGGATATCGGCGATGCTTCTCAGACGTTACTAACCGGGGACTTGAATTACGCCTGCGACACAGGCTAGTTACCCTGCAGTAAATTATTTTTCTGTAAAAGCTCAACAGTGACAAAATGTTAGATAAAAATCAAGTACAGTGTACTTGTATTTACCTGGGAGAAACTCTGTTAGAGTGGAATCCACGGAATGCTGTCTTTTCCTTCACGACTTGACAATAAGTCACGACAAGGAAATGAACGTATCTTTCTCTCTTGGCGAAACTTTCCTGTGGCAATCTAATTGCTGTTAAACAAAGATTAGAGTATTGCAATACTTCTCATACCCTATGCCCTTTTGTTCAAAATAAAGGTTCAGGTTAATGTATGTACTCTTTTATATACATGCATGTATACGTGCGCCATACCTTTTAAAAGGGGTAGAAAATACGGACTTCAAAGATGTTAAAATGCTACATCACTGGGTCTCTATTTGGCTCATTATGTATGCAATTCTCTTCCCTTGAAAAGGATGTACTATCCAGATTTTCTCCAAACTTGGCGCAATTGAAACCCATATACATGTGTATAGGACACTGTAATAAAGAGATGGGGTCACCATGCTTGTTTTCGCCCTCCGTGCCTGTAATTACCATACTAATGGTATCTTGATCCCATGATCCCATACTAATGGTATGGGGTTTAAGGTCTGGGTCAAAGGTGTGTTCGAAGCATATGAATGATTGGCAATATCTCTCCCTAGAAGACCTAGAACAAAACTAATTTTTCCCTTAAAGTAAATCTTGAGGTTTTCTTGTGCCTTCACGTTTAATTTTTGTCACCTGACATGACACGTGACCAAAAAGTGAAAATGAAGGAAATTGGCGAATTCATTGTGGCGAATTTACAGTTGTTTGGATAAACAAGTTGGCATTTCTGAAAGAGGATAAACATACCAAACTATTATGTTTGAAATGAATGTACGCGAAGTTTAATATCATGTTTTAAATAATTCAAGATTAAATTAACCCTCTAAATTTTTTATTGAAGTGCAATGGACGGTCATTCCAAGCATGAAGTGTTAGAGATATTTAATAAGAATCAGAAAAATGCTATCGCTCGATTTCTATTTTTTAAACCGGTCACCATTTGGTCTAAAATTTTTTGGCATATGGTCACATGACAGATCACGTGACATTACAAATTACTTGAAATATTGCCAAACTCAAGCATTAATGACAATAAGTGCTTTATTTACCCGCGACAGCCTTTAAAGCGCAAAGTATAGTGGGGCCGAGCAATGCCTGAAATAATATCAACCAAACATAACGGGGTTGATAGCCCCAACTGACCGGAGGCAATTCACGCAGGTTTGTGGAGGATCTGAAGTCGGGATTACCGTAAACAATTCCAGCCAGCGATCAGGGCAAGACTTGGACTCGGGGCCTCCTTTGGGCAAACCACTCGGCCACGCTATCTAATGTTCAATTTTTTGCTAGTTCCTGGAGTGGCTTGTTGTGTTGTGCTGTAATATTTAACTTTTTTGTGATCGCTAAACATTTGATAGACACAAAATATTATACTATTGTTTTATACAGGTCAGGTACTTTGCTAGGAATGTATAACCTGGACAACAGGATTGGAAATACAGGCACGTTGGGCAGATATTTTTGGAGAATAGAAAACCAGGAAAAAGACAGTGACATAAAAAAGTGCATCGATTGGATTACTTTTCAAGACGACGTGAAGTTTAGGTCTTGGTATGCTCAGCAGTTTCGATCTCGACGTTTTAACCGGCGTCTGGCATGTCCGTGCACTATATGGCAGGCACTTCTGGACAGGGGACGATTCTTTCGGGACTTTTCATACTCTTCTTCAAACTTTTGTTTTAGATCCAGAAGTTCTAGGTTCTTTTTTCATATCAGTGATGATCTTGGCTTTGTCGTTTTTCGGATAAGACAACTCTGCTGTTACTCGAGCCCTTTCAGTGACCTTGGTTTCCTTATAACTGGTCCCCCCGACGGAAGTCACGTTATAGCGGAACGACTTTTTAGCGTGAGAGACGTTACAACAGACAAAGACGCCGAAACATTTTGCTGTGCTGATCCAGATTTGTGCAATGAATATTACTTTTATCGCCCAAGTGATGATTGCTCTTTTTACAGACCTCGTAGGAGACGTAAGTTTTTGTTGTTGTGCTACCC